GTGTCGCTCCCCCCTTTTGCACACTCTGAAGAGAGTATACCATCCTCGTGAGGCCACAGACCCTAACACACCGCAAAACCATTCGCTTTTACTCTTCAATAACAACCGTAAGAGAAATTTCTTTTGGGAGTCACATTTTTTATGTCACTCCCAGTCTAAACATTTTCGGAACGTATTTCATCGGAGAAATATCAATCGGTGATTTTTTTTTTGTCGGGCAGGAGAGAAATTAGAATCTTTGGGGAAAGCTTGTCTGAACCTTATGACAATTACGGAAAAATTTTTTTTTTTGTTATTAATTTTTGATTGTAAAGACATTTTTTACTGATTAATATTTTCGACTCTTATGAAAAAAAATTGCACAATATTTTTAGTTACAACATTTGAGCGAAATTTCTGACCCTCGTGAATTCGTTTCAAATTTTTGAATTCGATAAAATAATTTCAATTTTTTTATTTTGAATTCGGTAAAATAATTTTCAAAAAATTATGAATTTTCAATTGTTGATATTTTTTTCATCGTGAAAAACATTTACATTAATAATTAAAATTACCCTTGTGACCCTTACGAAAAAAAAATTTAATTCTAAATTTTATGAAAAAAATTTTTCTCCGCATTAAAAAAAAATTCTTTTTCATGAAAAATTTTTGAATCCGATTGCATGATAAAAGATGCTGCCCAGAAGTCTTCAACTCTTCCTCGTTAAAAACCCCAAGGGACATATCAATTTCGATACTTGACCTCTTGACTGCTTCACAAATCTGCTGACGTCTCTCAATCAAATTTTTCTCCCCCCTTTTGTCATTGTCTCTGGTCTGAAAATGCTCCGCAAAAAAAAAAAACAAAGACAGTCAAGTGAAACCCTAGAGTGTAACGATACCCCGGCGCTCAAGGACCTTGACGAGGGTGAAAGGATCATCAGGATATTGATCATGTACACCGATACACTGTTTCATGACTGTAAAAAGGAGCCCGAGAAGTGTAAGGAATATGTAATGTTAAAAATTCAACTCGGGTGGTCTTCGCGCCAGGGCTGAAGTCACCAACTAAGCGACTGCCTCCATTCAATGTCAAAAAAAGCCACCTGTATATGTGATTCGGGTATCCGCGCAAAAATTAACGTCTCGACGTCTCCTCAGCCACTCATCAACTTCAGTCTGGTTTAGCCCCCTCATTCGTGTCTTTTATTTTTTTAATTCATCAAATATCAATTTTTGGTTGTTTATTTCTGCACATGGCCGGTTTGTAAAACACGGGACTGTCTATGTCGTAAAACATAACCTCGAAAATTGAAGTGGTCTCCAGTCGATATTCTACAGCAGTCTTTATTTCGATTATTCGACAATAGGTGCCACATCTTCACTTATTTCCAAAATTTTCGGTTTTTGTGTTAAGATAAGCCATTTTGAGAAACGAATATTTAGGAAAATAAAAAAAAAAAATAACACTGGCGCAATTTTGGCTGCCAACATTGACGCAATGTCGGTAGCCGACATTAGGGTTATGTTGGCAGCCAACATTAGGGTAATGTTGTCAACCGACATGAGGACAATGTTGGCAGCCAACATTAGGGCTATGTTGGCAGCCGACATTAGGGCTATGTTGGCAGCCAACATTAGGGTAATGTTGTCAACCGACATGAGGACAATGTTGGCAGCCGACATTAGGGCTATGTTGGCAGCCGACATTAAGGCTATGTTGGCAGCCGACATTAGGGCAATATTGGCAGCCGACATTAGGGCAATGTTGGCAGCCAACATTAGGGCAATTATGGCAGCCGACATTAGTGCAATTTTGAATGTCAACGTTAGGATTATGTTGGATTCAATTTAAAATACGTCGTCATAGAAATTCCATTCGACTGCAATTTCCCACTTGATTGATAAAATATTAACAATTAAAAAATCTGAGCCAACGGAGTTTTTTCAATGGAAATTTTAAAAAAATTCTATTCCTCATAATAATTCCACATAATATCAATAATCATTTTCCACAATTCCACAACGACATTACCACGCGGAATGCCGTGTTGTCGAGTCATCCAGAGCGACCCGCGCCCCCTGCATTCGCCACCCCACCATTCCATATAGGCAAAGTTCCTGCGTCATTCTTTTTCAGGAGAGTGAGCCTTAAAAAATGGGATACCAACTGAACCCAAGAAAAAAAGGTCGACTTCAACCTTCGTAAAAAGGTCAGGAAGGCTAGTTAAAACGGCAATCCCACTTCCGAGGACAGAGAGAGGGAGAGAGAGAGAGAGAGAGGCCGAGGTACAAGACGTTAAACAGAAAGGCAATCTGCTCACCCTGATGGGACTTTTCTATTTCGCAAAATTATCCTCGAAGGTTGAAATAAGTTAAATGAGTAAACAAAAACAACGACATTTGTTTTTCTTCGATGGCTCGGGTGTATTGCACTGTGTTTAGATGCCACTTGGTCATGAAAATGCGACGGTGGGGGGGGGGGAGAGAGGATGATGAGGGAGAGGGCAAAAAATAGTGGAGGGTTTAACTCGCTTTAGCGGCTTAACGATAGTGGGACTCATTGCTCGTAGATTGCAATTTGACACGGGGAGTAATGAAGCCGGGATGGGTATTGTATTTTTATCATTTTTAAACTCATAAATTGCGGCAAATAATCAATGGAAAGTTACAAGAAAATATTATTTTTAAATCTTTTGATTCTTATAGAATTTTTTTCATCATATTACAGACCCTCAAAAAATTGTTTTTCGAAAAAATAAAAAATTTACATTTTTTAAAAATGTCAATCAACTTCTAAGTAATGTCAAAGTAATTTTTGAAGAATATAATTTGTGACCCTTCTGACCCTTCACAATTATTTCACTCCATCGATTCCCCATCGCAATTATTTGTAATTAAAATCCTCTAGTAAATAATTTATCCCTGGCTGATTGATTGATTGATTTGCCTCAAACAAGGCGTATTAGCATAATTTGAATGGAATTCTCTGGCGTTTGGTTTTGCCAAGCCAACAAGAATGATGCCGAATATTCAATACAAATGTGTGTTTCACCTTCTTTCATTCTCGCTCAAGAGCATGTCGACAACGACACACTACTCTTTACAATTTAGATGAAATCCCCGCTTTTTCCCCGAGACGCCACCGGAGACGCCGACGCCCGGAGGCATTCATATACGATGCGGATATGCATTATGCAGAGATACCCGAGTGAGACACTCTGCGGTGAAACTGCATTATATTTTACGTCTAGTCTTTCACAATTTTTTTCCCCCCTCCCTTGCTCCGGTGGATTTATTCATATTTTTTTTCGGGGGGTTGATACTGTCTAGAACAGACGGCGAGAGTCTTCAGAGGTTTTAGAGAGGATTTTTTAAAGGACGAAAACTTGAAGTAGTGTAAACATCATGTGAATTGTGAAGATTAAAATTGGAAATAAATTGTAAACGGAGGTTAATGGGAATAAAAAGATTGTGGTTGAATTTTTAGTCAATTAGCAGTCTAGTGTTAGTGGTAACTAGGGGGCGAAGCCCCTTGCTCGCTTCGCTCGACAATCCCGGGGGGCGTCGCCCCCTCACTCGCTTCGGTCGTCTACCCCGGGAGGCGCCGCCCATCGCTTGCTTCGCTCGCCGACCCGGGAGGCGTCACCCCTCGCTCGCTTCGCTCACCAACCCCGGGAGGCGCCGCCCCCTCGCTCGCTCCAACCCCCTAATGTTTTTGGCCCTCATGCCCCTTAGTTTAACTTCCGTGAACCTTGAATTGACACTCATAAACCCTGAGAATTTTTGCGTTGTCTCAACGTACAAAATTATTATATCGAAAAATTTTATGTATTAAATACCATAATTTTTTTCAACCGATTTTTTCTCCCTTTTAAATTACTTTCTTCATCTTCAATTATTAAAAAATTATAATAAAACATTTCTGATATATTTTTAGAATACTTTTCTTTCGATTAAATTTTTGTGAAAAAAAAAAACACTAAAAGAAGAAAAATAAATTTTTTTAAGTTGGTTTTTTAATTTTTTTTCCAACATCTGGGGTTTTTTGGGCTATTTAAAAATGTTATTTCCACTCAGAATTCCCCCCGAAGATAAAAAAGGTATCCGAGCCACTTGTTCCCATTATCTCCGATCAGAATAAAGAGAGACACTGAAATCTCTCGGTATTTTCGAAGGTCCTCGAGAAGAATCACCACGAGAATGGCTTGTAGTTCACTGAGGGTACAGTCGGCATTTTAACAGAAGACAGGAGAAAAAAAAATAGAGTGAGAGAGAGTGGGGCTTGGAATAAAAGGCGGCAACTGTACACTCAGGTTTACTCGGGCGCGAGGCCACTCCTCGGGGCTCTAATTACCTCAGGGCGCGCGCGAAACAGCCATCGAGCTTCAAATTATTTCCTGCTTAAGCAACACATGTTGGTGGGATATACCTTAACGAGTATTGTGGGGTCAGAGGACATTTGCAGAATTTTTTTAAAAATGTTTTTTCAATTTTCTTTTTTTTCTGAAATTGACGAAAATCATTGCAACAATTGTTCAAATATTTAAAATTAGTTGCAATTGATTAAACGAAGTGGGAAATTTTGTGAGGAAATTTTCAAAACTGAAATTATGAAGAATAATAATTTTTCAACTTGAAAAATTAATGTAATTGGAAAATTTTGAAATTTTGACATTTGGAAATTTTTTGAAAATAATTATCTTTTTTTTTCAAATGAACAAAAATAATTACAATTCTTGAAATTTTTCAATTGAATTTAAATTAATAAAACAAACTAATGAAATTAATTTGTTTGCAATTCTCGGAACTTTGCAATAACAAAAAATACGATTTTTTTTCAACTTTCATAATTGATTTTAATCGATTAACAAAATAGAAAAAATTGGAAAAATATTTTTGTATTTTTTTTCAATCCCAAAACGTTTTTTTTTTCAAAATTGAAAAAAGATGTTTTAAATGATTGAATTTCATTTTTTCAATTCCTAAAATTAATATAATTGGATAAACCTTTGACTTACCAACGAATCAACCTCCGGGTCTGCAATATAATATGGTTTCTCTTGTCTGATCTGTAAAAATAAAAAACAAATTCCGTTAGAAACCTGAATAATTTAATTTTCAAAAATTTGGGAATTGGTTAAAAAAATGTAAGTGTTGGCATTACGCTCTGATTCATGATAATTGCAGTGTTTTCATGACGAACAAACGACGAACAAACGATTCCTCAGACGGAGGGAAGAAATAAAAAAATTATTAAAATTCTCCTGAGGTTGAATTTCCGCAGGGATCCCACTAATTTATTTATTTATTAAAATTGCTGTGTAAATCCAATTAATCCACTCGAAAGCAAATTGCTAATTTATTAGCAAAAAACTATACTATAGTTTAAACTTAAACTTTAAATTTTCAGTTTTATTATAGTATAAACTAAACTAAAATAATATTCTCTGAATGAGAATCTCATTTCCATTTCTCCCCTGAAAAATTCATTTGTTAAACGAATAAAAATCGAGACATCGTCTACAGTGTAAGACTTCGTAAATGCTCACAAGGAAAAATTCATATAGTTGTCTTCACTGTAGTTCCACCCCCATGATCGATGGAAGTGTGAGACAAACGGGTGTGATACAGCTTGGTAAGAATCGATTTTCAAAACATTATTCATGAGCAACAGAATTCCGAATGGGCTCCTCTGCCTCGTCGGGTGTATAGTAATGAAGGTGTCTCGTACAGTTGAGCAAAAATACTGTCAAGTTGACCGGTGCACGGGGGTAAGAACGAGATGAGGATAGAGTGGAAAAAAAAGCTGGGAGAGGAGATGAGAAAAGTGCTCCCAGGGTCTAGTTCTTGCGCACTCTCTGCCGGTGTTTTTCGATGGTCCCGGAGCGACCGCTAGCGCCAACGCAGGTAGACATACGACATTACAAATTGTAAACAGCCGTTGAATCTTTAAACATTTGAAATGTTGATTTTTCAACAGATAATGCCATTTTGTAATAATTTTATTTATTGAAAATTCTAATAATGCGGGTTTTTCAAGGGTTGAATTTATTTCTTGAGAGTTTTTATCTTTCTGACCCTATAAAATGGTTTTTTTGGGTCAAATTTTTAACCTTTGAGATTTTTTTTCATCTTTATTATTTTTTTAAATCATCAATTTTTTGAATGATTAATAAAAAAATTATTTCCCAAAAATTGTCTCGAAGTTTTCTGACCCTTATGACCTTCACAAAAATTGAGTAAAATGTCTGACCCTTCTGATCCTAAAAAAATTTTTGTAAAAAATTTATTTTTCGAAAATTTGTTATTACGAAAAAAAAATTGAGAATAAAATTTTTTTTAATGAAAAAAAAGTTGAGAATAGAATTTTTGACCTTTGTGATCCTTATTCCATCATCGATGAAGAAAGAATCAATTCTTCAAATGACTAATTTAAAAAATTATTTCCAAAAATTACCTCGCAATTTTTTGAACTTTCTGACCCTCAAAGGAAGTAAAAAAATTATTTTTCAAAAATGTGTTGTCATAAAAAAAAATTTCTTTTGAAACTGTTTTTATATGATTAAAAAACTCCTCACAATTTTCTCTAATTAAAATTCTAAAGGGACTAATGATCTAAAAATAGAAAAATTCACGAATTAGAAAATAAAGAAGGTCCAGACCCCGAAAGCCAAACAAATTGCGCTGATCCAGTGGGCGTGACGAGCATATTCCCCCGATCCACAGACATAACTCAAGTCCAGTGCCGTTAAAAATATTATTCAATAATATTTAGATAATGGTCTGCACTGGTGCGTCTGTGCGATCCAAGGGTGAACGAATGAAAATGTGTTATACTTTTCAATGTTGTGCGAGAGATTCTGCTGATAGATATACGCAGCCAGCTGCCTGGTTACACCGAAGGTCTGGGGGTTCTCTAGTTTCCCCAGCCCCCAGCCCTTTCTCGTCCTCAACAATCAAAAATTCTCGACTAAGAATGAGAGGAGGAAAAAAAAAAGACAATGGCCCAGCATTTTCCTGCGAGTTGTTCACAACTTCAATGGGAAATTTCCTCAGGGCAATAAATATTTTACAAGTCCGTATAAAGTTTAGTGGCAATTGGGGGAAAATTCTCGGTGACTTTGACCCCATGTAAAAACACTTGGGATTGCCGGAGGGTACAGTTAAATAATAGTTGAAGAGGATCATCTGGTCGTTGGAAAAGGGCCTCAAACGGTTTTACCATTTTCCCGGTAATTCCGCCTGAGAGACCCTTGTAAAATTCTAGACTAGCCTCGTTGACTCTCCATCACCCTTGAGATAACAATCCGTGACTTCGAAATTCATCAAGTGTTTGCACATTCATTCGACTTAAAACGCGAAAAAATGAGAAGAATAAAAAACCGTAAGAGCCTAATAACCGAATTTCTACTCAACAGTGACATTTCAAGTCATGAAATCATGTTCATCAAACAGTTTATTGTTATTTTTTTATTTATTTACATATTTTCCTATATTTAGGGGAGGGTGGGGTAAAACGGACACTTTAGACTTTTTTTTAAATTATTCATAACTCAGAAACAAATTGATCAATTGAGCTCAGTTTAGGCTCGTCACAAAGGGAAAGAATTCTTCTTTGTATTGAAAAAAAAAAATATTGAATTGTATCAACATTTCAACCCCTCATTAGCATTTTTAAAAAAGTCAAAAGTGTCCGTTTTACCCCAACCTCCCCTGATTGATTGACTGATTTTCGTGTGAACAACAGTCGTACATTTATATTTGTGTACTTTCCGGTAGGCTTCGATGGGCTTTTGCCTGAAGTCTTAATAAATAGCCAATAGCCAATCCTCAAATTACGTAAATCACGTAATTAGTGGAAAAATACATTTTCTCGACAAATTAATTAATCACCGAGTTGTAATACCCGAGGAGCCTCCCATCCCAATAAATCCACCATCTCCCCCCGTCCCAGTGACGTCACAAACTGGTTCGCAATCGAGAATTGCCCCACCTCGTCTGAAAGATACCTCGATTCCACTCTCTCGTGTCATATCATTGATTTACCACGAATTCCAATTAAATTCCCCGATGCTCTCCTTCAATCTCCACCCCCTCCACTCATTCTCACGGTTTATAATGCCACACTTGGTACAGTCAGGTTTCTCTAACGGTGAAAACACCTTTTCGCACACAACCGTCGCGGCCAACCCCATAAAATTGACGAGTAACGAACCTGGGCCTTCTCTCCTTTGCATAAACATACGCTCCAGAGTTATCCCAACAAATATATATTTTATCTTTATTTATGTTTATCTTTTGAATTCAATTTTTTTTCTCATCAGCTATTTTCGGAGTCTTATCAGTTGCTCGATAGGGGAATTGATGATTTGTTATCAATTGAGGAATTTTTGATAAATCCACTCCTTTTTATTTCGATCGATTGATTGAAATTTTTAATGAAAATATTTTATTTTCGAGATTAAATTAAATTTTCAAGGGAAATTGCAAATGTTCTCAAACATCTAATGACTTGTTATCAATTGGGGAATTTTTAGAAAATCCATTCCATTTGATTTCGTTCATTTGGGAAAAAAAAAAAAAAAAAAAAAAAAAAAAACCCTCGTGGCTGCTATCTTACNGTTCTGGAAACTCTTAATAGTTGAACAAAATAAAAACAAAAGATGAATGAAAGATGAAAATGAAGAATGTGTTTATTTATCATTGCTAATGTCGAGTAACTTGTGAATTTCGAATTCTAACCTACAAAAGGGACAGATAAATCGCATGGAAGTCACGCGCGTCAGCTGTTTTACCTCTCTCAATACTCGTTGGTGCCTTCTCCTCCAGTATGGCGTTTACGACGGGTTTAATGCCCCCGAAGGTGCATTCTAATTGCGCCAATAAATCCCCAATGGGGACTGTCCCGGGGTATTATAAGGTTGGCATATAACACCCAAGTGTATTTCTCCAGGTAAGAGGCAAAAGACACAACTTCCGGTGACAGAGTCGTTTTCGGTTGATGGTTCTGTTTCCACTGTCATGTTGTCCCAGTAAAGAGAGAGAGGGGGGTTTATTGGATTTGTCGGGTCGACCGGCAGGAATCAACATCTTCCTCAACGCAGTGCAAAACAAGAGGTCGAAAACATTTTTTTTTTGTGAATCTGTTTCGTTTAACTTCAAATATCCAAGAGGATGAGTAAGTTAGAGACATTTATTTGGGGAGGGTGATAATCGGAAATTTTCTTGGCTACAAAATGGCGTCAATTAAATCCCCCTAACGCTACCCGCTTCAGAGATACAACCTAAAAAGTTCAAAAGAAATTTTCATGATTTTCAGAACGAACTTCGTTGCTCAAAACGGAAATGTCCTCTGCATTTTATCTAATGTTCGAGGAACTGAACAAGTTAGAGACATTTATTTGTGGAGGGTGATAATCGGAAATTTTCTTGGCTACAAAATGGCGGCAATTAAATCCTCCTAACCCTACCCGCTTCAGAGATATGACCTAAAAAGTCCAAAACAAATTTTCATGATTTTGAGAACGAACTTCGTTGCTCAAAACGGAAATGTTCTCTGCATTTTATCGAATGTTCGAGGAACTGAACAAGTTAGAGACATTTATTCGTGGAGGGTGATAATCGGAAATTTTCTTGGCTACAAAATGGCGGCAATTAAATCCCCCTAACCCTACCCGCTTCAGAAATATGACCTAAAAAGTCCAAAACAAATTTTTATGATTTTGAGAACGAACTTCGTTGCTCAAAACGGAAATGTTCTCTGCATTTTATCGAATGTTCGAGGAACTGAACAAGTTAGATACATTTATTTGTGAAGGGTGATAATCGTAAATTTTCTTGGCTACAAAATGGCGTCAATTAAATCCTCCTAACCCTACCCGCTTCAGAGATACAACCTAGAAAGTTCAAAAGAAATTTTCATGATTTTCAGAACGAACTTCGTTGCTCAAAACGGAAATGTTCTCTGCATTTTATCGAATGTTCGAGGAACTGAACAAGTTAGAGACATTTATTCGTGGAGGGTGATAATCGGAAATTTTCTTGGCTACAAAATGGCGGCAATTAAATC